ATTATTGTAGGTTACAATTCCAGATTCTAAAAATGGTATGTCACGTACGTTTACAATTACTTCTCGTCTGGGTTCTGTTTCTCACCTAGAAATTCTCAAGAAATATATCAAGATTAGATTGGAAACTAAAACTGAAATATCATGCTTTTTATGCGCTATGAAGCAGCTACATGTTACAACCAACCAGTCGGCAAGAATATCCTTTCTATGATTCCTAATAAGATTGCACAGTTTTTGAAACTAGAACATCCTGAAACATATACAGGCCATTCATACCGAAGAACATCGGCAACGTTACTGGCTAATACAGGAGTTGATTGGAGTATTAGCAATCAAGAGACATGGTGGGTGGAAATCAGCCACAATTGCAGAAAGTTATGTAACAGTTTAAGTAACAAAAATGAAATAGCCAACACTATTCTTTACAATGGCACTTCAACTCCAGATTTTAGTAGTACGTCACATCATGCTGTTTTAATGGATCAGTCAGATTGAGCCTCCGGTGACTGAAATGGAGTGGTCAAATCATTTTAAGAAAATTGTGACAATTAGTAAACGCGAGGGGAATAATTATCCAGATTTTATAAATGCCATTAAAAGTAATAACTGTACAATTACTATAAATATTCGTTATATTTGTTCATTCATTTATAACTCGAAATCGTTTTCTTCCCTAAGGAGGTAAGTTACCTCACTTACCTCCCGTTGTCAATAGCAACTTCCACTTCTACGGTAAAATCCACTTGCCAGAAACAATGTATTAATAGTCTATTTACTATAGTGGGAGCAGATAAAAATGTTTTCACAGTATGTAGAATATTAAATTTGACAAATATAAAAAATTACTTGATTGCTCATATACGCGTCATTGCACATTATTCTTTTTAAGAAAAAATGACTAGTGAAAGTTAAATTCTTTAAAATTAATTGCACTGACATTTTTAAAGAACAATGTTTACCTACTTATATCTAAACATTTTGTTTTTTCTTTGACAAATCAACCTGTATGGGTATCTATTTCTTTTTTGCTTGTAACAAAGATGAGAAATTTTATTTTAAAATTACTTAATCTTTGTCTTTCAGTTTGAGAAACTGATTTCAAAATTAATAAAAAAAAATGTTATTAGATAATCATAACAAATATAATTTTGGAATCTTAAAAAACATTTGTAGGTATATAACGAAGTGATATTTAAGTATCAGGTAATTTTGTTACACTTCATGTTAAATTGTCACATAGACTCTACCAATTACTTCATAGAAAATATATGAAGCTTTTATGTTTACTTTTATTGTGCTCTATACAACAATGCAAAAGTGGCTTTGCATCGTATAACTTTTATGTGAGACTCTTAAATTGAATATAGGACTTAGTTTTATAGTTAAGATAGGTACATTGTTTACTTTGCACTGTTTACTCAGAAAGGGATACTTTTCTAACGCAAAAATCGAAAACTGTAATACAAAAAGTAAATAAAACTAATAAAGAAAAACTTTATTAATATAGTTCCACTTATAAATAACGGTTCTTCCATTAAAATTTTAAATGTATAAGAAAATTTTCTTTTTAATAGTGATGTTTTTATTCCAACACAAAGTACAGACCATGCGGTTGAAGACTGGAGGTAATATCTTCCAAATGGCTGCCTCTGCGATGCTTCTGATGTCAATTTTAATTGAAATTTTTCATAACTTTTTCACATTATTCCGGACCTATTTCGCTAATTACAGGTCGGACATTGTTATTAAGTACTTCAATTGTTCTAAACTTTTAGCGCACGTGTAACCCCACAGAAATAAATTCAGCAATGTCATGATCTGAGCGGCCAATAGAATTCTCCGTGATGCGAAATGACACGTCCAGGACACTGATCACGCAAAAAGGCTATCGTTTCACAGCTTGTATGGCACGTAGCCTTATTCTGCTGAAAATAAACGTCTTTCATATTCAGTTCTTCAGTTGTTCGCCCAAAAAGTCAATCAGCATATTTCCATCCATCGATTGTAGCGCTAATACCGGCTTCGTTTTCGAAGAAATATAGCCCTATAATAGCACGACTGCAGAAACCATACCAAACAATAACTCGTTGTGGATGAAGAGGTTGCTTGACAATCACTCTTGGGTTTTGGGAGTCTCAGATATGAAATTTCTCTTATTGACGTGAATGAAAATTGTCCCCTTTAGTAAAAAAGCTTTTCTTGAAAAATCAGCGTCAAAATCTTGCATTTCAAACATTCCCTCAGTGAACGTACGACGCATACTGGGGATTTTTGTATGGAAGTGAGGAAAAAAGTTTTTTTTAAATATAGTAATTTAATGACTGCTGTAATTTTATTTATATAGTAGTAGTAAAATAATTCAGATTAAAAAAATATATATATTTGGAGGTGAAAAGCAAAGGGGTACAAGTATCAAAACTAAAAAAATTGAGTTATATGCAGGAATCAACACTTAATACCAATATCTATTACTCTATAGGTATGTATTAGAAACCAAAAATATTATGTATGAAAATGCGTGTCAGGTTGCAGTACCCAGCACTCCCCACCCTTCCGAATTTACGAACTCGAACGAAGCTAATTCCCTATGTAGCGTTCCGTTATAAATGCAACTAATGTGTTTGGAGAAATAGGGCTTTTTTATTCTATGATCATAAAAATATTTTTAAACAGAAAATAAAAGTTTCTGCAGTGTTTATTTTTTCAATTTTAGCTTATTGAAATATCCTATTTTAAATAAAAAACAAAAATAAAAATGTCAGCTCAAGCCATAAAATAATATTCGTCTTGAAATTCTTAGGTTAAATTTCAGTCAGTTCAATAAAACATACAAGTAATGAGTTTGAAACGGTTAAAAAAAAAACTAGTAGTCAGATCAAAGTAACTCTTTTTGATTTAATTGTAAAAGTTATTTCGAAATTTAAAAATATCATTGCATATTGCATTAATAATATATTGAATTTATCACTTTTTTCCGCGAAATCCCCACTGTGCGACGCGACGTTGCGCTACGTCCGTCGGCTTCAAATGTTTCGTTAGTTGGACTTGGCATGGATCTTGTGACAAATGCGGTGCATACTGGTTTGGAATAGACAAACTAAAGTTTTCCGTAACACTTGCAGACAAATAGCAATGTATTCGATTGACCTGACTCACCGGGTACGAATTGGGTTCTTAATATCAGTAATTTGCTCTGTATGTTCAAATGCACAATTATTGTTGTCGAGGAAGTGCATTTCTTGGAACCTGAAACGGATTTTTCCAACCGTCTCCGAGAAATTTTTACCATACTTGTAGTGAACTTTTATTAGGTACTTCTAAGCATTGCTCAAAAGAATATCGATCCATATTTATTAATCGCATATATTATAATTAATGGTTACCAAATATGGAAGCTCCATCTGTCACAAGTAAGAAATGGTGCACAATTTAAAATGAAATTTTTTATTAGAAGACCCGATACTACTAGTCGTTGTCTGAGTTTCAGAAAAGTTGAAAAATCTTACTTTTACCCCTATCTGAAAGAAGCTGAACATTTTTATGAAGAGCTCGGTTGGAAAAATTGTATATGAAATAAGCTCCATAAAATTGTACAAAAATTTCACTATTTATTTTCCATTTCCAGGATTTAGTTGTTGAATTATTTTAAATTTTAGGAATCACTTAATGATTCTTCTCAAAGTAATAAAAGGAACTAATTTATAAGTTGACAATGAAATTTAATACATATTTTTAAAGAGATATTACCAACTCGACTTAAATGCAACAAGTGGTAACACTTTAACATTTTAAGTAAATATTTTGCTTTATGTTATATTACTTAATATTTATACTTGTACTTACACAGAAAATAGTTGGTAACTGTTCTCATTCTTTTATGTGCCAATATTATCCATATAACGATTAGATTTCCTCCCGTTGCCACAATTACCATGCCAGCATAAAGGATGCTCCAAAGGACTTGTCTCCATATTGGCAGGATGAACTGATTTATTTCTTCTACGTCGGAACATAAATCAAACGGGATTAGAAAAAAAAAATTGTTTTTCCATAACGTTTACAATATAAACACATTAATTATCGCACGAATTTAGAAACTTTCATCGACAAAATTATTTATGGGAAACGTTTTGTTCTAGGAATCTTGAGATACAGATAGAATTAGGAATAATAATCACAGTAATTCATTACTACTATACTCCTTATAATGATTGAGGTATTTCCAACGGTATCCATATAAATTTTTAAATAAAAAATGGAGCGGTTTTTTTTTTACCGAAAATATGTAAAAGTATATATCAGAGAGCCTCATTACCGAAATAATAATCGATTTTTTCAAAATTCTAGAGCGGCGTTACCCCTTAAGAGAATACTGGGTTAAAAATCGCGAATTTACAAGTTTATAGGTATATTTTTAACCACTTGTGAGGATACATTTATTTTGGTATACAGTATGTCCTACTGAATAGCAATAGATTTTTGTAAGAATTTAAAAAACCCAGGGCGATATTGGAAAAAACTTTTATCCATTTAGAAAAGTCACCTTACCATGAATCTTGTCATCGGGGCACAAAAAAAAGTTCTAGAATTTTGAAAATATGACTGCAAGATTCTGCTGGCCTATATATTTATAACAAAAATAAATTTATTCAAATAACTGATTAAAAAATTAGCCAAAATTCATGGATTGTACCGACAAAACTTTTATAAATGTCATGTTGCCCACAGTCGCTACAGTACGTGTCCATTTTAAAACATGCCGTATTTTTTTTTTCTGAGCTGCCAAAGAAATTAAAAAATATAAATATATTTCGATAACCATATACTTATTATAAACTAAAATATTTTTGCTTATCTAAATAAAATTAAATTTTGAACCACAAAATTATCTGACAAATGCCTTTTTCATACTTTTTCAACTTCTAAGTCTTTGTCAGATGCAATGTTCTTAAAGGTGTTATCTACCCTTTAAAAAGCTCCTACATTGGATGCCAAAGACAATTTGCAATGGAAATAACATCAAAGGAAAAAAGATTGTCTTTGCTCAGTTACTTTGAAATTAAAAGCCCTGTAGGAGCTTTAAAACAAAAGAAAAAATGTTTTGCATAAATAATTACAATGTATGTAATTTAAGAATACTCTTTTTGAATATTAATTTCTAATTAATAGATATTTACAAAATTAGCATCCTTATGTGTGGACGACACACTATTTATGTATTTTTGTAAGGGAACTGTGACAATTAATCTTGATTTCAATTTATTTGAATTATTTATCCACTTACCATAGTACGTGAAGTTTACCACGTCTGTAGAATTATAATCCGGAGATAAATAATCCAGGGAAGTAGACTCTAAGTAGGGATTGGTGAAATATTCTATATCTCGTGAAATATTCATATTTAAACACTGTCTCAAGTTTCTGCGCCGTTAGAACTGAAAATGTAATACATGATAATTCTATGGATGACAAAAATTGAAACAATTTTTCTTAAAATGAACGAGAAGGTTTTTCAAAGCGTAACTTTATGTTTAATTAGATTAAAGTAGTTGATCTAGTACATACGCAATGGCTATTCTAAAAAAAGTTCTGTATCAGAAACATGAATACATAAATACTGATTTATCACGACATTTTTTAGTAAAACCGATAAAAAATCCCCTAAATGGAATGAAATAGAGATTATAAGGTAATAAAATGCAACAATTTCTAAATAGTCTGAGAAAGGATTTTAAAATATTTTGAGCATTAGGAGGAAATAAATCCACATCTACCCCTACGAGGGGGATAATTCTACGACTAAGATCAAATAATGAATGTTACAAAAAAAATGAAAAACCATAGCCTTATATTTTATCTTACCAAATATACAAATATAGGTTGATAGACAACATACCAAAAAAATATAATATACTTTACATACCCATTTAAAACCGCGGGTATTTGGGTCGCTGATTACGAATCTGAAGGCCGAATTCGAAAATTCCTGAAAAAAATTCTTAAATCCAAAATGGCGGACCCATTACAGTGGATTGAAAAGTACCATAGAAATTGGTATCTTCCACCCAAACAAATGCGTTATGAATGTTTAAAAATTTGAGTCATTTGAGTAAAAATAGACATATGTCTAAAAATGAGAATCAAAGAATATAAATTCTATTTGCAGTTTGCCGGCTTTTGCAGGAATGACCAACTAAACCCCTATAATTATAGGGGCGTAGTTGAGACAGTTTCCTATTGAATGATCTTTATATTTTTAGCTCTAAAATCAAACTCATTTCCCTGCTGGGATTCGTAAGAGTATTTGAAAGAGTTATCACACTGCACATCTAATTTATATTCTTTGTTTCTCATTTTTAGACATTTGCCTATTTTTACTCAAATAACTCAATATTTTAAATATTCATAACGCATTTCTTTGGGTGGTAAATACCAATTTCTATGGTATTTTTCAATCCGTCATAATGGGTGACAAAATTTAGACAAAAATATTGAATAGAAAAATGTGCGAAAAAGTTATATTATTTATTTTTGGTATATTGTCTATCAACCTATATTGCTATCAACCATGTATTTGGTAATAAATAAATAAAATACAATACATTCGTTTTTGCACTAACATTCTCAAAGTATATGTTCTACCGTTTTCCTAAAAAATCAACTGGTAGATCGAATTTTGGGGCTGCGGATTCGGATTCAGCATAAAAAAAAATAAACAAAATCTCTTTTTTTTTGTGTGGTTATGGAATCTGTTAACATACTTAATTAAGTTCGTCGAACGACAAAACCAGTTCCTACTGATCGGATTAACATAATCCCAAGTTTTCAAAAGTTCTTAAAATTATATCAGTAGAAAGGCTTTTGTAATAATTTGTTTATAGCATACTACACAGTGCTTACATTATCAATTTGTTTTGATATCTAAAAAGTGTCTACCTATTCTTATTTCTACTTACTGTTTGCGTTTCGCGTCCTTATGTAATAAAGTTATTCCATATTGTAATGTTCATCTTAACATAGAAAGTCATTGCTACTTTGAGATGAGTCTTGTGCTTTAATATAAATCTGAAACAAGAATATCTCATCAGTGAAATGCATGCATCGAAATTATATCACACGTTTTTCATTTTTAGTGTGCATATGCAGGGTAAACCTTAAATGTGATACAGCTGTTAAGTTTACTAGTTAAATATACAAGGTGTCCGGAAAGGTCATGTTAAAAATGAAGGGACATACAGGGGAGTTCAAAATAGATGTTGCACTTCATAAAAAATTTTTCCCATCGGGCTTCGTTGTGGAGTTGTTCGCCTTCAAAGAAAGAAGTTTGAAAAACAAATTCCAATTATAACTTCTAAGTCGTTACCATGATAACAATGATATTTGGGCAATTGAAGTAACTCATGGTAGCGTTTATTTCCAATTGTAAACTGATATTCAATATGTCTGGATTATACACGAGCAAATGAAATTATCCATTTAAATTTATACATCTTTGACAGTGTTGCCAAATTTGACATTTTTCAGTGACAAATATTAAAATGATTTTTATTAATATAACATTATATAATACATACATATAAGCAGGTACATAGAAGGTATTTAAGATTAAAAAATGTTTTAAATTGTAGAATATTTAACTGCTTACGCTATAAAACACCGTACACCGTCGTATTTTACATGCTCATTAATTCGCAAGTATAATTATTTAAAAAAATTTTATTTCTCATTGTGATATACCGGGTGATTCAGTTTGATATTCGCGGCCTCGTATCTTTTATTTTATCAAATAGCTATAACAAACCCTATATATTTTTAAATCGCCGCTCAAACTCTACCAAATGACATTGTTAGATCGTCTCCATGGTAACATATGTTAAAATTGCTATAGTCAACTGTTTTTGTTCAAATGGCACACTATATATTTTTTTATCAATTCTGGAAGATATTTTTTTTTGCATTCAGCTATATAAAGAAGTCTATAGTTTCATTAGAAATATTGCTAGAAAAACAGTAAAAAAGATGAACCCTACTTTCAGTAGCTTTATTCTGAAAAATGATAACCAGCTGCGGAAACAACTGAATTTTGACGTTTCTAAATAACGGTTTTTCAAAATAATTGACATTTTGTATCTACCTAATCTATCTATAACTAATTATTATTACTATAACATGAATACTTATAGTAACCAAGAAAAACTAGATATGATTTTAATTTATGGAGAGTGCTGAAAGAACGCTAAAGCTGCCAGGCATTTATACCAACATCGTTTTCCGCAGAGACAACTTCCATCAGAAAAAATTTTCGAAAAGTTAGCCAGGAATTTGGCGGCAGATGGAAGTTTTCAAAAGAAAAGAAGAATTTTTAAACTCAGAAGGGCAAGAGATGAAGAGCATTCGAATAAGATGTTAAGTAGCCTGCTAGATCTCCGGGTCTGACCCCTATAAATTACTTTCTTTGGACTTACCTAAATGATATTTACCTTAAAAACAGAATAAGAGTAGAATGTCAGAGATTAAATGAAGAAATAGTAGAATGTGTTTGTAGAGAGGGAGTGATAAACAGAACTATTATGTGTTTGGAAGCAAATGGAGGCATTTTGAACATCTGAAATAAGCATTGTTTTAAATTGTTATATTCTTAAAATAGTTAAATTATTCGAAATTATTTCATAATTGAGTTACGGACATTCTTCTTTCCTACTTGTTCTTGCAATAGTAAATTATTATTTTATTATTGTATTAAAAATAAAATATGTTACTTTAAAAAACATAGTAACTTGTTTTCTATGGCTGGCTATCATTTTTCAGAATAAAGCTACGAAAAGTAGGCTGCATGTTTTTTGCTGTTTTTCTAGCAATATTTCTAATGAAAGTATAGACTTCCTTACATAGTTGAACGCAGAAAAAAAATATCTTCCAGAATTGATAAAAAATATGTAGTGTGTCATTTGAACAAAAACAGTTGACTATAGCAATTTTGACATATGTTACCATGGAGACGATCTAATAATGTCAATTGATAGAGTTTGAGCGGCGATATAAAAATATATAGGGTTTGTTATAGCTATTTATTAAAATAAAAGAGATACAAGGCCGCGAATACCAAACTGAATCACCCCGTATATAAAATTTATACACTCTCCTAATTAATCCCTTGCAAATAATCAACAATAAACAAAATTATTTATACACTGTCAAAGAGGTTGTTTCTAAATATAAAAGTAAATTTAAAAGGATCTACATGTTCCGATATACGAGTATAGGTATTATAAATAGTCTGTCAGGGGCCTTTGAAATACGATTATAAGGGTTAACAATCTCGGTGTCAACCTAATTATTTCAGTTTACAAAACGTATAAATATAATATATCCAATAAAACTTCCAAATGGAACGAATAAAAAGGAACGTAGCAGCGATAACGGTGAAAAATGGGTCTTTTTTTCCGTAAATCGTTTCAATTGTGGAAAATTTGACTATACAAAGTTTAGACATTTAATTCAGTGATAATACAATCTGGAATTCCTTAGATGGAAGTAAATTGCTACTTATAATTTTTCCAAATACTCTTAATGCAATATTATGAAGGTATATTTACTATATTGTTTGAAAGAAGTGTAATTACATTCATAAAAATTTTATATAAATTACACGTTAAAACACTGGCTACTTTGACACCACATGGATTCATGTAAAATTAACAATAATTATTAAAGTTACATTTAGTAAATAATTGTATAATTTTCCTGTAATTATTAGCTCTAAATGTAAATTTACAAAGTATAATTAACATCCCATACAATTTAAATTCTCTATCAATATACGGAGTGGAATTAAAAAAATAAACAAACCTCTTTGTAATATGCCCCTTTGAATATAAGAATTTACGTGTTTCAGGAATTTTGCGACAAAACTTTATTAAGTTCCAGTTATACATGTACTTGTATTTACGTCATGTATAATTTTACTAAGAAACAAGAATAATTATATAATATTTTTAATTATAAAGCAATATATATACGGCGTGTCTCAGTACTTGATACAAAAAAGTCGAGTACAAATAGATGAGGTCAAAATAATATCAGTTCTTCATATACATTTTTTTCATATGAACCCTCGTTAATAAGTTATGGGACCTCAAAAGTGAAAATTAAAAAGTTTTTTTTTATTTACAGTCTCTTACTTTAACTTATTCTTGTTTTGTTTTTCTATTTTGTGTTATGTGTAAAGTGTGTTTGTCAAATTTTGTTAGTGAACATTACATTAGCAGACAGTAAGATTTTCTAGGCTATTATTTTTAAAATATGTACGGTTCTACCATAGTAATTTTGTCCAATTAAAAACAATAAACGGTGGAGACGCCGCTCGATGTGCACAGTGTCATAGAATCACAAATATTTCCTAAACTGTTAATTTCACCGACTTGAACCAAGAGAGTATTATCGTTGGCAAATTCTTCAGGGAACTTATTTTTGATACAGGCAGATTGCGATCGTCACCCATGCAAAAATTTTGGGTCGTTACTGATTGGCCATAGTCCGTCCCTATCGTTCTGGGCATAATGAAGTTTCACTTACAACATCAAAAACAAGCTGTACGAATGTGTTATCGTCCCCCAATTTTGCATCATGCTGAAGTTAATCGTCTAGAGATTGTAAATAAAAATAACTTTTTAATTTTCACCTTTGAGGGCCCGTAACTTGTTAACGAAGGCCCGTATGAAAAAAATTTATATGAAGAATTGATATTAATTTGACCTCATCTATTTGTACTCGACTTTTTTGTATCAAGTAACGGGGCACCCAGCAGATTCTTATAATGTAAAGAGTGCAGCTATAAGAAGACAACAGTTGAATAAAATTACACATAAGAGAACCCGCCCTACAGCCAACTCTGCACCACATTGTAGCCGCCCTAACATTTCCGATCTCTAGTGATAATAGAGCAGCAACAATAGAGCATTTTTCTTTGTATCATTTAACAAATTTAAAATATTACACATGTTTTTGTATTAATTATATTTAGACATACCTATCATGTATTGTTTTATAATACGATGTTTAAAATTAATTTAAGCTATAATAGTAAATTCAATAAGAGTATTGCAAGGAAAGTAGTACTAGAAATATCCAATATTCTTGTTGTAAAAACATAAAATAATTTATTTTTAAGCAGCTACCTAAAGTTTTATAACATATTAATACATCAACTACATCCTCTTATAAAAAGATAGTATGTATTTTATTCAATGTGACGCACATTATGTTAGTATAGGTATACCTGCCCTAACTGAAATATAACTAATTATTAGATAAATATTGTCTATATTTTTACTTAAGGGTAATATGCCTGGTGTCCAAAAGGTAATGGATAATACGGTCAAGGATAGATTCCTTACGTGAAAATCAATCAATGTATTATGGATCACATTACCTTAGTACACTTATGCTGCATAAGGGCCTTATGCAGCATAATCAATCACTTATTTGAAGAAATTTAGTATAGGCAAGTTTTTGGGGAAGCAGAAGAATATATGCTTGTTTATTACCCAAAACGTAGAGGTTGCTAAAATTTTTGTGTTGGTAGATATTTTGAGAAAATGAATTGTTTTATGAAAATTAGTTACACGTTGGTAAAAAACATAGTTACTGAATAAAATGGGTTTAAATTTTCTAGAAAAGCCATGTTTTAGAACGGCCGTTTGTGTAATTTCTTTTCTTTTCTTAATATTTTCTACTTATAAATTTCATCATCTCTTAATGAGAGAGTGACCCATATCGGCAAATTATGTATGAAAAATGGAGAAAATGGCTTTCCAAATTAATATACCTATAATCAAGCTAATTAGGTTAATCGAATATTTATATAGTTTCTGGAGCTTGTCATCCTATAAAATGTGAATGGTAAAGTGAGAGTCTATGTCTAGAAGTATTTGTACCTAAATTTTGTTTAATTAATGTTGTCGTCTTTGATTTTTTTCTGTTTATTTCGTCATATTTTAAGTATTTACATAAAGACAAAAATGTATATCGTATAGTGTATATGTTTTTTAATTACTGAA